CCCCAAAACCCCAAAACCCCAAAACCCCAAAATCCCACTTAAAATAAAATAAATCCCAATGGAATCTACCCCTTCCCTCGAAGAGACCAAACAAATACCCAATCCCCCACAGTAAATCCTGCTCTTCACCTATAGAAAAAGCTGTGAGTGCAAGCCAATAAAGAAGAAATTTAAGTGCGTGATTTATGATGCTGAAGCGAGATATGATAAGAATTTAGTGAAATGTGTGTGTGAGAGGTAGGATTATAGGTGATTGTGTAGATTTAAGAATTTTAAGTATTCGAATAATATTAGAGTAGCCAATTTGATGTGGTTTGGAAAGCATCTGTATGAGAGTGATGTTGAGCTGTGTGGGAAAATTAAGGGGTTCGTGAATAAGGTGCCCGGAGCAGGGGTTTTTAATGAGAAACAAACCCAAGGGAGGGTTTTGAGTCAGCTGGCGAAGGTTTTTCCAGAGGAATTTGCTTTTCATCCGAGGAGTTTTTGATTGCCGAAGGATACAGATGATCTTGAAGAGGCTATTAAAGCTAATCCGAAGAAATTATTGATAGCTAAGCCTAATGAAGGAGGTGGTGGAGGAGGTATCTTCTTGTTTAAATCCATGAAAGATCTTTCTGGGTTTACTTGGGCTTCAGAATGAGTAGTCCAAAGATACATTGCAAACCCCTTGCTTATAAATAATAGAAAATGGGATATGAGAGTATATGTAATGATTCATGGAATCAATCCTATGAAAGCATATCTAGCAACTGATTATGGTCTAGCTCGATTCTGAACGGAAGATTATGATACATCTGATCCAAATAATATTCTATCACATCTGACGAATTACTCTTTGAACAAGAACAGTGAGGGTTATGTAAAAGATCAAGATCTTGATGAAAACAGTGAGGAAAACAACACAAAGATCTCGCTGGACTTAGTCTGGAAACTCATCCAAAAGCAATATCCTGATGTAGACATAGAGACTGACTGAAAGCAGAAGATGAGGGATATCGTTATCAACGTCCTCAGCGGAATGAGAAGTACCATCGAGCTGGGGTATTTGGAGATGACAAAACTTAAATCGGTAGAGCACAATAAGAAATTCTACCAAATTCTTGGGTTTGACATCATGTTTGACGATGAATTCAACGGGTGGCTCTTTGAAGTCAACTCTTACCCAAGCATGGATATATTCTACCACAAAGATAAGAGTGATGGAACATATGATAAAGAAAAATCTGAAATTGATGAAAGAGTAAAATCAACAATCTTTGCAGAAGCAGCAAGGATTTTGATCGCTAAAGATGAGAGCGATGTATTTGAGCAAGTATATGATTCTCAAGAACAAGAGGGACTATATGAAGATGTCTTTGAGATTTATAAGAAATTAAGTGGGATAAGACTAGGACAATCAATTTCAAGCAGCAAGTACGTTTGATTCATTTTAATCAATTTAGATTTTCAAAATTATCGAAATATCTTCCAAAAAGCTTATCGATGAGCCAGGTTGACTTAGAAATTCTTTTCACCAAGCTAAAACACTCAGAAACAACTTCAATAGGCCTGATGGGATTTTTTGAAGGGCTTTCAATGATTTCCTCAAGCAACAGCATAGATTTATCAGACCTTACATCCCAAATAATTTCAAATTTTGATTAATCATTGCGCAATGTAGAATACTGATGTGTTTCTATTAAAATTAATCAATATAACTTGTACGGTCTGGGGTTTTGGGGTTTTGGGGTTTTGGGGTTTTGGGGTTTTGGGGTTTTGGGG